GGAGGGAAAATAATGTTAGAATGACAAATATATCCTTAATGATGTAAGAAAAAAAATAAAATAATTCACAATAAGGTCAAAAGAGTAATTTTATGTTAAAAATTTTCCCTCCCCTCCAAATTCCCCCACTTTTGGAGGGGTGTGTATTTTCCCTCCTCCAAGGGATTTGAAGGGAAAATCTTAATCCCTCCCCTTACTTAAAATCGAACCAAACAAGGGAAAACTAAAAATTTCCCTCCCCTCCCTTCCCCTCCCTTCCCCTCCCCTCCGTTTCCTCCGAACCAAACAAAGCCTTAGAGAGTGTTTGTGATATTCACATTTATGAAAAAGATCTGTAGGGAGAGTGAGACGCTCTCCTGAAGGTTCAATTCCATGTAAATCTGTTTCCGCGTTTGTTTGAATTTTCATTTAAATCTGTTTTAATCAAGTTATATGCAACTCTGGTTACTTGGTGTACGAGTATAAAACTTCAATTGGCACCAGAGCGGGTTTTCGTTTACATTACGAAAGATCTAAGGACTTGTGTTACTGGGCAATCATGAATCAAGAAAGTGGATCGATGTCTCGGCCTCCGCAATTGGACTGTTCTAATTACTCGTATTGGAAGTCTATGATGACGATCTTCCTAAGATCGCTGGGAAAAGGTGTGTGGGAAAGTGTTGAAAATGGTTGGGTGCATCCGGCCATGGCACAAGTACCTGATCAAGGAAAAAGAGCTACGACAGCTACGGTTCCTAAACCTAAAGACAACTGGACAGATGCGGAGAAGCTTCAAGAAGAAGCCAATCATCGTGCCTTGTATGCGATTATGATGGCAGTGGGTCAGACAAAACACAAGATGCTAGTTCAATGCAAGACTGCAAAAGATGCTTGGCGGGTCTTACAACGTCAATTTGAAGGTTCAATGGCTGTCAAATCATCCAGACTTCAACGGGTGACTTTTGAATTTGATGAAATCAGAATGAGGGATGAAGAGACAATTGATATATACTATACCAGATTATGTGATCTGGTGAATCAAAGTGCGATGCTTGGAGAAGAAATTTTTGAGAAGCGTCAAGTTCAAAAGATTATGAGAACTGTTGCTCCCAGGTCCAGAGAAAAAAATACAGCCCTTGAGAGTTTCCAAAGAGTGGCGTCTCTAGATGTTGATGAACTTCTCGTTAACAAAAACTATGACAAAGTCAAAAGCAATGGTCTATCTCTCAAAGCGGCTGTAGCTTAAGAGAAAGAAGAGAGTGATGATGATGAAGGTTCTTTAGCTGACAGAAGCGAGCTGAAAGAAGCTCTTGCATTGATTGCGAGAAACTATGGAAAGATGAGTCAAAGGCTGTACAAGAATAAGTTCTCTGAGAAGAAAGAAAACAATTCCAACAAAAATATGTTTCAAGACAAGAAGAGTAGTACGTCAGTCTCAAAACCTGACTCACAACGAATTGAAAAGGATCAATATAGGGAGTGTCGTGGCTTTGGGCACTTTCAAAATGAGTGTGGTAATCTCAAGAAGAAGAACAAGTCTCTGAAGGCAACCTGGGAAGATTCGGATGATGAGGGCACAGACGAACCTTCATCACACACTAGTAATATGGCGATCCACACCTCCGTTAAGAGGTTCATGTGTCTCACCACTTCTCACGCTCCAACCAGATTTGAAGAAAGTTTGAGAGAGGCTGAAGCATCTGACGACGAAGCAGACCAGAATTTATGTGTTGATCCAGTATACTTGCTCGCCATGGAGAATGTGCAGAAGCCTCTCAAGCAATGCAGAAGCTTCAAAATGAAGTGTTCAGACTATCAAGAGCAAACAAGATGCTGAATGAACAAGCCTCTTCCATCACTGCTGCGAGAGAATGTGAACTGGATACAACAAAGGCCCAGGCCTCCATTCTTGAAGGCAGTGTTAAACTTGCTAAGCAAGATGGTATGGAAAAGTCTCAGACCATTGAATGCTTGAGGATTGAATTATTCTCTACTCAGAAACTTCTAGCGGAGCGCAAAAAGGAGATCTTGAAGTTGAAGACTGAAATTGATCATCTCATGAATAAACATACAAGCATGGAAAATAAACTGAAAGCTAACTCAGCAAAGTTGAATCGTACTGCCGAGGCG